TCAACCCCAGAGGGAAACATCCCTCGTAATTCTTTCTACAAAACCGTTCCACAGCTAGAAACTATAGATTTGGAATCAGAGTCTTAAGCGCTTTAAGATAATATTTGTTTCATTTGAATTGGTGCTTTCGACTAGGTATCCTCTTCTTGTAAGTAGATGTAGTAAAAGTAGATGTAGTAGAGTACATGCTAAAGTAGATGCTTTCCGAGCGCTGTGAAGAGAGTATCGTAAGTACCCTAATTTCACGCGTGCAAGGCGCACCTTTTTCAGTTTTTCAGTCAAACCCCTCAGCCGCTCCAAAGTATTTCGCAAAGCGATCCCTATGCCGTACGATTCTCTTAAGCAATATGCAGCACGGCATAGGGTCCTTTGGTTGCAAAGCTCTTCAAAGTATTTGGGCCAGTCAATTTTGGAAAAGAATCCCCCGCGCCTTGTACGCGTGAAATGAGGGTAATTCGCTACCCAAAACTGTTACGCTTACACCACATGCTTAGCAGATACTTTCATTTTTCGCATTTTTTGTCTCTCAGTTGTTTTTCTTTCTGCTGCGCACTCTATTACTTTTTAATCTTTTTGTAGTCCGGTATAGAACTTAGGAATGCGGGAAAAATTACGAAAATGCTAAATGGGCTTGGGGCGTATAGTCAACCAGTAAATCTTATCAGATGGGCACGAACCTGCAGAGTCCTCCTATTCAAACAACGATTTATTGCAGCACTACTTAAATGAAGGTTGTGCCTCAAATCACCTAGAGATGAAACGCAAAGTGCCAAATTTGTTATGGAAGATTACCTGATGCTCCAAGAAACTTGCTTGATCTTAGTCTTAGGCAGTGGGTATACCTCAGAGATTTCAATCCCCACGCGATTTGGCAATTTGCCAAATTTGCCAGGTGTCTTCAAAATCAATAATGACAAGCCCCAAATGCACAGCATGTATAATTTTCGTAGGTTGATGAAATGCCTTAACTTCCGGACTATCAGAAACCTCTTACGATGAGTTATGATCGATTGGAGTATTGCCAAAACGCGGCGCCACTGAAATCGCTTGAGGTATGCCCAGGTCTTCACACCACCCTTTAGCTGGCTACCTTTCATGCTTCCAGACACGGAGGTCATAAGAATATGCTTGCAGTCATTAAATTCTGTCGCTCTACAAGGTTCATCTTTTCAACAGTAATCGCAGTGCAGTTCAAGAAAACTTTACTCAAAACTTAGTCGCTGATATTTTGGGCGCTCGTTGCGCTTGAACGGAGGGCGTGCAGGAGTTCCTAGCACCTTTCTTCGCACCAGGTTCGCACCAGCATTCGCACCCAGAAGGGTTCTAGCACCTCCGCGTCTCAGAGGTCATGCCTCGCCCTTTGCTCCACCCATTTACTGGTCTCATTGTGAGGTGTGCAAGCATCGAGAACCTAGAATCGGATATTAAGGTATTAAGGGAGGAAAAATGGAGAAAAGGAAAGAACATAGTTGATATTTCTCATGTGAAGCTTCTGCTACGCCATCACTTTTAGAAGAAATATCCAGAGGATTTTTGAGTAGAAACCGGTCATTTGAAGTATTCGAATCTGTTCGATTGTTTGTAAATCACTGGGCTCTGTTTGAAGTAATTTAGCATTAGCAGTTTTGAAAGACTGAGTGAAAGGCGTGGTCAAGACTCCGATTACCTTCTCAACATTGAAAGGATTTATTTTGAAAGGAGTATATCAAATTTTCGAAAAGCCAACTTGAAGCTTTCTGCAGTAGTTAGGACATTTGTTTTCCTACTTTCGTTTGCCCTCAAATATTTGAGAGATTTTCATTCCAGTTACTCTACAATAATATCCAAATTATCAAAAAGAAATTTTCCAATGTAGAAAGTCTTACAATCGATGTATTAAAATACCAGACTTCCGTCGTATGTGTGATTGAAGAGTTGACTAAGAGTTCCAAACACACTAAATCTGCAAGGTATTCTAATTCGCTATATTCATGGATGAATTTTAGAACTTGCATGAAATTGACTAACTTTTGAACTTCTGACATAAGTTCTGCTTGATTTATATCAACACGATATGCATCAGAAACTTGATTAAGCGCGAGCACTTAAGTTCCTAGGGAAGCTTCATTTCTTATAAAAACATGAGGAGCATTAGCTCGAAATGCTGGAGATTCAGCTGCAGTCATCTACGGATTCTAAAGTTTTATAGAAAGTAACAAAGTTTTTCCCTCAGTTTCAGGTCTATTGTCCTCAAAAACTTTCAACCACGTCTTACACTGCTTGTACACAATTCAAAATGAGGGCACCCAAAGGGAGGAGCGATGGGCGGAGCCGCTCTTTGACCCCGAGAAAGTGTGATGTCCTTCAAGGGATTTTTGGAGGTGTCAAAAACCCCTGCGAGGAAAAGCGGCTAGGCTTTGGGAACTCCTGCCACGCCGCCCGCTTGAACAGCCGTCGGTTCTTCTAATGAAGATAGTCAGTAAGCAATTTTTTTGTGCAGTAGCTAAAAGTCGTATTGCAGTTACTACTTGCTTGTAAAACTTCCGCAAAAAGAAGAGCGCTGCTTGCTTGCAGTTTTGCAAAAAGGCTGGGTTCATACTGATCTGGATGTTACGGAACAGTTCCAACACAGTTCTTGCACTGTGCTGGAACTGTTCCGGAATTGTGCTGCATGCGCTACAACCGCCCGTATGCAATTTTAAGGGCGAGTTGGAGAACTTTGACACTTTTAAACAATTCTTCTTCCAGATTTCTCTTATTTTTCTTATCCCTCTACTCCGCTTCCCTTTTGATCAGCAGATCTCCGAACTTGAAGCGGGGTGGAAGAATGAGCGTTCTTCTGCTCTGCGTATCCTACAAAATGTGTTTTTTGAGCTTGCCCCATTCTCTCTTTGTTTTTTTCCTCAGACTTATTCCAGCTTATTCCATTGGTTTCCGGAACCCGCTGCGTAGTTTCTGCACAATTTGAGTGATTCTCATCATCCGCTAGTATCAACCATACCTATCACGGTAACCATCTTTACGATTTTTTTAATAATAAGAAAATTTCTTGGTGGCCCTCTCCTTTAACTCGTACTCAGGCTGTTTGCTTGTGCATGAAAAATCTTTCTTTCGCAACCGAATAAACAATTTAATGTGCTTGTGACTGCAATCAACTGTGAGTGTGATTCCACTATTCTCAATAATGAATTTTCAAAAGTACAAACAGCGATATTGAGCCTTCATTACATGTTCGCAAGTAGTCTAAAAGAGACAATTTGACATTCTTTGTTTTGATGATATATTGGGATGTTAGATATCTGTTCCGAAAACATGCTATTCCAAAGTAATTTTTAGAAGAATAATTCATTTCTTTTTTCTGGAGCATGCACAGTCATCGCAGGTACTGGCTTGGTCAATTACTTTTGCACCACATTTGATGGGTTCTTCTCCACAAATTTTGATTTGATATAACTTAATAAGCGAAAATTATGCGCCTCTCAAGTAATAGTAAAAATGGTTACCTTGATAGATATGGTTGATACTAGCGGATGATGAGAATCACTCAAATTGTGCAGAAACTGGAATAAGTCTGAGGAAAAATAAAACAAAGAGAGAATGGACAAGCTCAAAAAACACATTTTGTAGGATATGCAGAGCAGAAGAACGCTAATTCTCTCGCTGTCATGACCTTAATCTAGTAACTCTTCAAGAGAATAATTAGTGAGCTTAGCTTCGCACGGCCTCACAAAAAAGCTTGATAGCATCAAGTCAAGAGGAGATTTTCGAACTACCGCAATGCCTCATTCAGGTGAGATATACCAAAAGCTTTGCACAACAGCTTTATTAGTGCTGCGTTTTCTTCTGCGATATCTTTTTGATATCGTAAAGGTCTGAACGATAGCTAATCTTGCCTGTAAATTGTGCCTTTCTTTCGCAAACTGATTGCATTCACATCTCAAAAATATTGATCTTGCTAATGTTTCCCATACTATGTAGCGTTTGAAACAAACCAACATAGTGGAGCTATCACATGTAAGTAAATTTTGCACAATCGTGGCAAGCTTATGTATGGCTGCGAATGCTGCTTTTCAGTAAAATCAAAAGATCGTCGCAGATGAAGGGCGTCCATTCAGAATCAAATGTCATATTTCTTACGAGTACGTACCGTAACCAGCTAGAAGAAAATTTGTTCCTGATATGCAGTTGAAGTTGGCACCCGTGCAACATGCCATCTGATACTTCACAGTCTAGAGCTTTCTATTCCAGAGAATTAGAGCGTCCAAATCGTTATGATAAATGTGTTTTCATCATAAATCTGAGTAACATATGTGAAGTGGCAAGCTATTATAGTGTATTCAAGGTTGCATATAAGCGTAGCAGGCCCCTCACTTGCCATTATGATTCTCATCAATAACATTAACAGTAGTAGGTAACATCTTGGCAGCGGTGGCCCCTCCCCGAAAATGGTTCATGAAATTCTTGAAAGTTGACAGAAGTTATGAAAATGTGCAAGTGGCTTGTATACATTTGTAAATAATTTGAGGTAAATTTTTTTTTTTGAAAATTCAATTTCTTGCCACGCCCTCTTTTGCTTAATTCTGGGCTATAAACCCACAAAAGCTCTAGATTATTCGAAAAAAAATTTTTTAGCCTTTTCCCCTCCTCTCCGAACGGAAATCCTGGGTACGCACGAATGCTTGGCAGAAACTTGAGATATTTAGCCCTGCGATAGCAGGTAGAAGTTCTGATAAATTAACAAAGGTAAAGTTCAACACAAGTTTTTTATGTTTCTAGTTGGGCTGTAAATGGTGGAACCTGGTTTAAAGTTCTAAATTGAATTGATATGACATGCAGCCTATCTACTTAAGCAAGAGCAATAGTCTGCTGTTTTTGGTGAATCAAGAGCAGGTTCTTTTGATCGAGCGTATTTGTCAGAACTGTCTTCCAGCTACATGTTCTCAAAATCAGAATACAAGAGGAGAAAAATGTTTATTTAGATTAATTCATTATCTGTACACTAACATGCCTTTTCAATACTTTCAGTCGTCTGCTGTCCAGATATCCGCCTTCGTTTCACCACTTGGGGTAGGATCTGAGGGTACCTACAAAACAAACAACGATTATAACGAGCAAACGTCAAACACGAAAATTGACCTCTTCTGCTGCTTTAGCGCGTTTCACCGCCTCCTTCTGCATGGAGTCCAGTTTTTGGGTTGTAACGGTCTTTAGGGGTAATAGCTTTGGTTTACAGAATATCGGCGTTAGTGCTTCCTCTTTGAAAAGCATCGCATCGGCAGCTGTTAGCGACTCTCGCAAACCCGACATTTTCGCACTGCAACCGCGAAATTCAAATTAGACACATACAAGATTAACCATGATTAGCTATCGATATTATTTGGGAATAAGGCAATTTTCCAACCAATCCTGCAATAGAACCAAGAAGAAGAAAGCGGAAAAGCTTGGAAAGCTCTCAGCATTCTATGCGATGACGACCGTTGCTATAGCAACGCGTCATGTTTTCGTGAGAGCGCAAAGGAGTCCACTAAAGCTTTGAAAATCATTTCTTCAAAGTCAAAAAAGAAGTCCTTGCTTAGCGATTTTGCACACAAACATTGTTGCTTATTTTCAGAGCTTCATGTTGATGATATCAAACGTTTCTCTGGAAAAGAGACACTAACGGACGTAAGCTCAATATCATTCATTAGTAATTATCTCAAAGCACTTCCAAAATACACACACCTGTCGAAAGCTTTTGAATGATAGCCGCTTTCATAGAGACCGATAAAAATAAAAATATAGCTCTATTAAATATCGCAACATGCTGTTACAGTGACTGCGTTAGGTGGGAAACTAATAGGAAAAGTTACTCGATAAGAACTCAACAAACCAACGGATTTTTTTCAAGTTTTTTTTGTATCCTCATTAAAATTTGAAAACGAGAGCTTGTCGACGTGTTGAGCGATTAATTCTTCGCAAATTTTGAATAATAGTCTTGATATGGGTCGATATAGCAAGCAAAGAGTTGCCGTAGTTCTAAATGCGCTAATATTTTTACGCTTTTTTCGTGCTCAAAACAATATAAAATGTTTGCTCACATTTGTGTAAGCTTGGAAAACTATAATGTTCCCAAGAGCTTATGCAGCTTTGAAACGGTCACAGGGTACGCGATGGGATCTTCAGCGGTTTGAAGAAGCATACAAGATGTCTTGAAGTGGCAAAAGGGATATTGTGCCAGAGATAGTTTGCATATTGCAGCGAAAGGTTTCTGCGTATGCTAACTCTCAACGCATGAAGGCGATGATATTACTTGAGTAAGTTACCCTAAATTAGTCTGAGTCGTTCTTCATAATTTGGAAAAGCTCTGCTACATGTATTTCTGGTTACTCGAGAAATGATCACTCTTGTAAAAACACGTTGAACTTTCTCGACCTCGAAATCAACTTTTGAGATGTCGGACTCAGTTGTCGGATTTAGAGTTCAGAATTATCCGTTACTTTCATCGATTTTATCGACTTTTTTGCAAAGTTTGAGCTAAGGGGTTAGAGTTGGCACGCGGGTAATCGAGCATGCTGATTACGAATACAATACTAGCTTTAGAATTATCCGTTACTTTTATCGATTTTATCGATTTCTTGCAAAGTTGGAGCTAGGGGCTGGGAGTTGGGACAGAGGGGTAAGTGAGCATGCTGATTCCTGACACAGCGGGAACAGAGAATCGGCATGTAGAAGTGGGCACAGGGATAGGGATGGGACCTTTATCATAATCTTTTGACAAAGCCGAGAGAAGCCGGGTACGCCAGCTAGTTTACTACAAGGAGTGAGTTTTTCCGAAAGAGTTAACTTATCTTTAGTTGCAAATCACCTTTAATACACATCAGGAAAAAAGTCATATCGCAAGGGTTTTAAGAAGAGTTGTAGTATACTTGGTCTCTAACAAGCGCTTATGACCGCTTCGGTCATGAAATAACAGCCTTGAAATTCACTATAATGACTTAGAAGATGGCTGTTGTATTAACCTAGAACGTGTGCTTCTATCTGGGCACTGCTGCCAACCAAAACTTATTTTGTACCCAAGTGAAATGTGAGAGCTTAGAGGACGCAGAAACTGAATAATAAAAGAAACTGTGTATTGACTAACTGATCACACGTTAAAAATGTAGAACAGTAATCGGCGGTCTGATTAAAGAAGCGCTTCTTAAAAGTGGCATTGATAATGTAGTTCCGGTGCTGAGACAAAAGTTGTACAAATATACCTGTTCAGCGGATTATCAGGGTCCGATTGTGAGCTGATGATGATTTCAACATCAAAAATAGGCTAATAACAGTTATATCAAATTTCCTCTCTTCGAGGTCTTTCACAGCTTAAAAGATATGCAGAGAGTAGGGCACCTTTCTTTATCCACTGAAGGTCATGCATAAGCATGACCTGCTGTGGTAAGTATCTGTGTAGTCTACATGCTTGTTATGTTAGTTCGCGCCCCCTGCAATTACTATAGCATTTTCTGCTGCTCCTATGCGGACATGTCGTCTGACTCAATAACTCTGTTGGGCTAGTGACTGTGCGCACCAACAGATAATCTCCAAAGACCATAGCTATTACGGCAGCGTTAAAGCAATTGTCTGACAAAGATATTCATTCTGTATACTAACTTTAATATATTTCAATTTGCAATATCGAACAAACCACTGATTAATGATCATTTGTAATTAATGTAAATTACAACAGGGACTCCAGTATCTAGAGTCGTTGAATTAGCAAAAGTCAAAAAATTTCCGAAACGATCGCTATGTATGAGAACTTATGTAGAGATTTCAGAGATTTCATGCAAGCTACTTCCACTAATTGAGTTTGTGCAAATCTTTGGACTTTTTAGAGTATATTTCTTGAGTTGTAAGAAATCAGACGTTTTATACTTCGCATGACATTTAGACGAAGTATTGTGATAACGTACAAATTATATGTGTAGTTGCTCTCTTAGTATAAGAGTTTTTGGAACGATCGAATTTTTTCTGAGGTAAAATACCGTTCTCAGAGTCATACAACCTTTACAGATTTTTACAGTCTAATAATGATGAGTAAATTAATAATTCGCCCTGTGATATAAATCTAAATTGAAGTCAGCACTGCAGAGCCAAATCCATTGGTGGAGAGAGATCAAAAGACAGAATTAATTAGAAATAAAACAGTAGGAACGTTTTTTTGAGGCACCTGGTGTTATAGATATATAATTCGATTTTCTTTGTGGGTGGACATTCAGTGCAGTGCTTACAGTGTCTTTACTACAGGAACCGCGTGAAAGCGATAAACATGTGATCGCAAACGTGAACCCTGCTTCTGGTAAAAGCCGCCAATAAGCTGTTTCCTCGACTTCTCAATGTCATTTTCTTTCATGGTATTGCGGAGTGGTGATATAACAACATTACAAGTGTTAGTCAGAAGTAAGCATTTGCCGTCATTTGGTATTAATTTAGTAAGCAGAAAGAATCTTTCATCAGTGATTCTGAGCGAATGGCATCATCTAAACTCAAAAGATGGTAGAATATTGCCTTCAATGACATTGAAATTGCTGAGCTTGATCAAAGGCAATGCTTCTGAAAAAGGTTGCTGATTCAGAAGGTATAAAACACGATGTATAAATATGCTGTAAACTGTAGATGAGCACAGGCAAAATTTGTTCCTTGCCATGTTTCGCTCCTTTTTTTACCCATAGGCAAATAACACAAGCTTACAATTTGTGAATGCAAAAATTCTAAATTTGCTAAAGCTCCGCTTACGAAGTTCAAAAAAATTACACTGCTTTCGTGAGAATGCTGCGTAAATGGTCTGGAGTTTTGCTGAATTCAGTGACTGTACCCCAACTTCATAAGTACAAAACCCCAAGGGCCCAGCCGCTTTGCTGTGTCTTACAAAATCCTCATGCCGCACGATTCCGTAGGGGATACGTAGCAAAGTATAGGCTCCTTTGATCGCAAAACCCCTCATCGCTTTCGGTCTAAGCGATTTCAGAGAAAAAAACCTGCGAAGACCAAAAAACCTATTACATTTATACCCCCCTTGGGCGTCATTGCAAAAGATGCCTAGATGCTTACGTGCTCTCTCATCTCCTCTCCAACTGTAAGGCCTAAGGCATACCTGACGCGATTCGGCCAAATCGCCGCTTTTAAGCGACTTGGCGATTTGCCAGATTTCCACAGATTTGTCGTGCGCGCTTCTCGAACGTATAGGCGGGTAGCCTGTATAAGTTGTTGCAAATGGGTCAAGTCCTGACTAAAGCAAGCGCATTAACAACGAATTACAAAGAGTCGCTCTTATGCCAAATCGCGCAGCGACCGGAATCGCGCGAGGTATGCCTTAGGCCTAAGCGATATAAATCCACATTCTGATTAACGCTCTGATAAAGTGGTTGCTCCGAGCTTTGTTTACAGCAATAACCTACGAGTTTTCGTTTTTAAGACCTCGATTAGAGAATTCTTCGTGCCACCGGTTAATCTTTAAGATCTTCTCAGAGCTGCCAACTTACATGATGTTACTTGAGCTCCTAGAAGTTACGTTGTAATTTTTTCCGCGCTTGGACAAGGTGAGTGCTATCAACAACTTACGCCAGCCAAATCTTGTCGAAAGACATCTGGCTAATTTTTTGAGGGAATCCACAGATGGCGAATAATGTACCCCGTGATCCTTACGAACTGGGAATGTATGGCAACGTTAGAATGCTTGACGGACGCGGATTAGGAAACGGAATGAGTGAAGGCGGAATGGAAATGTCAGGAAATGGAAACGGAATACCACATGATGGAGTTAGAATGCCATATAATGGAATAAGAATGCCCAATTATGAAATGGGAATACCTTGGTTTGGGATACGATGAAATGATGATATGAAAATGCCATATAACGGAGGAATGCCTGGTGGTAAAAAGGGAGTGCCTAATGATGGGATGGGAAGGCCTGAATTGAAAGTGGAACCGCCTATTTTTCAAGGATTTAGAATACCAGGAAGTGGATTGTCGCAGGATTTTTGGAAGGGAGAAAGAATGCAAGGTAGATGGCCGTTCAAATCGATGATAGGAAGACAGGACCTTTTTAAGGTGCGCCCGATGCGAGGTGATTTTGACTCAGAAAGTAACTGAAGATTGACCCAAAGATGATTTTAAATTTGCAGGGTATTGGTAACAGTTTCTCTACACTTGGAGAAATTTCGGACAAATTTTCAGCATACGTCTGAATAAAGGTTTTGCATTACTGAAAAAGTGTAATATTTCATCAGATTAGCGCTTATACCTCTTTGATTTATACAGGGTGTACCAAAAAAACGGGCTGTTTG